CCTGACGGTCTGGGATTCTGTGATTCTGTATTTATACTTACATATACTATGTTTGTACTTAATATACTTTAATGCAGTATCCCTTTTAAAAGATTGCCAGTTCCTCTCTGTAGCCTTTTGTTTAGAATTCCTCCATTAAATAAATAATTCTTAAATAAAACATTCTTAATACAGACAGATTGATTTCAGCATTAGTGTTGAGATTTGCTTATCAGGTTAATCTCTAATTTGAATAATATCAAGAAAAATATCCAAGAGTTGGTCTTTTAAGCCAAAAGATAGTGAGGAAATGGTTAGTATTGCATATTCTGTTCCTTTGGGTTCCTCTCTCTTTAACTTTCTTCCCTTGTGGGAGGTGAATGTGTGCAGGGACAGTGGCTTGCAGGGTGCTTTACCTTAAGGAGAAAAATGCGATGATTGCTTTGGAAAGGGATTTCCAGAATAAGTCAAGTTATTCCTAAAGCCATGTATCAAAACTTCTTGGGAAGCAGGGAGCAAACTGCTGGTGGTACCAGATGAACTTGTCGTATTTCAAGTGACAGTCTGGATTTAGGTGGATTTGCCAGGTAATAACCAAAATGCAATCCCTGTGTTGTGGTGTGAGAAACAGAGAGCAAATCTGAGTCCTTTTCTTCCACATTCCCCTAAATATATTGGGTTTTTTCCGTGGATAATGGCCAATTGACTGTTTAATTTGCCATTGAAATGTATTTAGAAGAAGCTAAAGGTTTGATTTTGAAGTTTGCCCCAGCCTCCATATAATGAAATGTATATTTGACATATAATAAAATGTATATTTTAGACTAAGCTGCATCACATACTGCTTTTAACTATTTTATTTTCCTTCCTGCCCCCTCTGGAGTTGGTCAGTGTAAAGGTTGATAACCTGCAGTCGTTTTGGTGATACCACATCATTTTCTTAGCGTGACACCGCAGTTAAGACAGAAACAAACTCACCCCCAGTTACTCATCTGTTGCTGCCGTATCTTGGGTTATTTTTGCGGTGAGAGCTGACTGCTGATGTGTCACCCTTGCTGTCATTATTAAAGGAATATGTGGTATGTGTTTACATTAAATAAGCGCATAAAAGCAACGGGAATTATGACCAATTTTGACAAATTTCCCCAGGCATAGAAAAAAATAAAGGTGTTTTATTCAGCAGATAACTGATAAACTGATTTTTTTGTTTCTTACCACCTGTCTCTCGGTACCTAACTGCTTTATTTCTCCTTTCTTCAGTATCTGGTGATGGACTACTACGTTGGGGGTGACTTACTGACGCTTCTCAGCAAGTTTGAAGACAAACTGCCTGAAGATATGGCTCGGTTCTACATCGGTGAAATGGTGCTCGCTATACATTCCATACACGAGCTGCATTATGTGCACAGGTAAAACACTGTAAAAAAAATACATATACAAGTTAGTCATAAAGATACTGCTACGTATGCAAATGTAGTCGCCACAGGCAAACTGCTGTGCGTACCTGCTTACTATCACAGAATGTGAGGAGTGGGAAGGGACCTGGAAAGCTCCCCCAGTGCAACCCCTGCCAGAGCAGGATCACCAGAGCAGTCACACAGGAACACGGCCAGGGCTTTGGGTGTCTGCAGACAAGGAGACTCCACAACCTCTCTGGAGAGGATTTCAAGGACCCTTTAAGGCTTACATGACCTGTGGGCTGAAGATAGGGAACAACTGAGCTCCGAAATAGGGCATTAAACCTCTCTGAGCACAGCCAGCGCTCCCATAGGCGAGCAAAGGCATGCAAGGCAGAAAAACAGAGAGTGTTCTTCATCCTTCAAAGGGCACCATGAGCAGTGGTCTTTAAAAAGCAAGCTTACAATCAAATTGGTGTATGGTTGTAGATGAGCTTTAATACGCTGCGCCTGCTGAGCCTGTGCGGTGATGGGGCCGTAAGGGTGATGGGGTGAGTTAAACAACAGAACATCACTCATGGGTTTCTTGGAAATGCAGGGTGGGATGGTCTGATTTTCTGAGTTAGCACCTGGTTTTCTGTATTATAACAAAGTATGCGCTTAGTTTGTGGTGGCAGGCGTAGGTTAGCATTTACTGCTTTGTCTTGATGCTGCTAATGAGCAGCGGTGTTAGTGACGTTTCAGTGATTAATTTCAAAGCCTTTGGTTAAAAAGTGTTAATTCAAGTTTGTGTTGGAAACATTTATCAGATTGAGGCAGCATTTTTACACATACGAGCGCCTTTTATTAAACCTGTCATGGTTTTTCTCCTCAAGTGTGAAAATAATGAGCTCAACACCTTAAAAATCAGCCATTTCCAACTTCCACCCCTACGTAGCAAGGAGTATTGGAGCACATGGGTTTTTTTTCCTTATTCCTGGTGATTCCAGTCTCTTCCTCAAAAATTCACATGAAGTTATCATACAGATTTTAAGTTTTTGAGCACATATTAGAACTTCCCATCAGAAAAGCAGCGTTTCATGGTGCAACAAGGCTGGTGGGTTTAACCAAACCACAAAGCACATGTGGTTTTCTTTGTTACTAATAGATAGCATTATTTGAACAAATAGGGTATCTGAAAAAACCTCCAATCAACACATTGATTTGGTCCACGTGGATCTTTTTACCCTGCAGAATTGGCACATAACGGAGTTGATTTGGTTTTCTGCTCTTGCTCTTCTCTCTCCCTTTCTCACCAACTTATTGGCTGGCTGCTCTTAAAGTCATTAGGCATAATTTGAAGCCATTAATTTAAGTAAAAAGCATAGTATGTGTCTTAATGACTGTCATATTAACTTGTCTGGATGATTGATTTTGTACTGATACTTGGTGTGTATTTGAGTACAAGTGATGAAATAAAATGTGGTTAATTGGTGGACTGAATTCAATTAACATGCTCTTCATTAAATCATTTTTGGCTGCCTTCCTGATATCGAAAAATATGAAGCCACGAGCTAGAATGAGATGGGAACCTCAGTTCCCTGTCAGCGTGCTGTGCACCATTTTATACCCTGCTATGTGTGTGTAAGAATAGGAAAAACAAGGTTTGGTATTGGAGACCTCCTGATGTTACTGGATCCTGTGGAAATGGCATTGCCCTGATCCCAGAGCTGGGGGAATTCAAAGGTCTTTACATAACCATAACAGCAAATTACTGTGCAGTAGTGTATAGAAAACCTTGAACAGCAAATTGAAAATACAGAAATGCTGGACAAAATTTAGAGAAGTAGTAAAACAATATTCCTGAATAAGAAGTTAGTTATAAATCTTGGCAAAAACGATGAGATTTAAAGGTTGCTTTTTATCCTTCTCACCTCTAAACAATATATTGTGATATCTATGATCTTGAATTTATATTGGTGAAGTAAACTGCCCATCTGTTACAGTCAGTGGGGCTCACTGTGCTGGTGCTGCTTGGTTATTTGACCGCTCAGAGTTCAGCTTGGATGAGCTTGAAAATCTGATGTGTTTAAGGCTTCAGTACAGGGGGACAAGGTTTGAAATGTGGCAGGGGAAGAGGTTTCTAACCAGCGCAGTAAAACAGTTTCCACCAGTGAGTACCCAACACAAAACTCTGTAGTTCTCATGCAAGATCACTCTTTGCCAGCAGAGTTAATGCTGTCTGTGTAAGTATTTTCACGTCTTTCTACCACACCAGGGACATAAAGCCTGACAATGTCCTTCTGGACATGAACGGCCACATCCGCCTGGCAGACTTTGGGTCCTGTCTGAAGATGAGTGAAGACGGCACGGTACGTATGACCAAAACACAACTGGTGCAGGGGCCTTTGACATGAGTTGCTGGTCCTGAAGCTATTAAACATTGTAAGGGTGCATCAGGGAGGTGACTGTAAGCTTATTGACACGTTAAAAATTGAGGGCAGTGTTTAATTCACCATCTTTTTGACATCTTCAGCTCCTTCTTCCACCTTTTAAAGTTATCCTTTGCTATGCTCTGCTGTTTTTCACCTTTTCCCTTAGTAGCCATTTGAGTTCTCATGAGATTTGTATGAACTGTCCAAAGACCCTGATTTAAAAATAAAAGAACTTTGATATTATCTATGTGCTGGAATCACAGGTGGCCAGGAACCTAGCAGCCCTGACAATTGGAAGTGTAAGGCATTCAAAATAAGGGGATAATTAATAATTAATAACAGCAACAGTATGGTAATCAGCACCTTGTGCACCAGATTGGATTCACCCCTGTGAGCTCAATCACTCGTGAGAGTTTTTGGGGTTTATTGCTTAGTATATGGTGCTTCCACTCCTGCCAAAATACGGCGTGCAACACTGGTCCCTGATTTGTGGCACACACTGAAGTCTCAGTGACATTCTGTAGTCATCAAATGCCAAAGATTTCCCCCATCAAAATGCAGAATGCATTGGAAGGAGCCACCATAACTCTTACATTATAACTTCTCCCTGTGTTGCATCCAGTTGCACAACTTTGCCATAAGCCTTAAACCAGTTTCTGGCATCATAAAAACACGGATCTGCTTGCCCTTGCTGTCTTCAAATGCAGCTGTAAAACCTGGGTATATTTATTACTCATTTCTCATTTGCAGTCCTGGCAGCCAATTGCCATTTTAAAGCATGAACGAATCCAAAGGCACAACATTTTCTCCTCTTGTCTTTCTGCTTTCTCACAACAGGCAGAAATTCCAGGATAAAAATGAAGTAAATCATTTTGTTCAGAATAAAAATGCATCGACTGATTTAGTGTAGAAGTGTTCTGGAACTTAATCTTTGCAGGCTTTGTTACTTTCTTAATATTTTCTTTATCTTGTTGCTGTGATATTATAAATCTCTCCCCTTTCCAAACTCATGTCCTGGTGTTTCTGTTTGTCACAAACACTCGTGTGTGAGTGAGAAGGTTGCTGAGAGGACCTAAAAACTTAGGAGGATGATGTTTGCCCTCTTTTTCAGGTGCAGTCATCGGTAGCCGTGGGTACGCCCGACTACATCTCCCCCGAGATCCTGCAAGCCATGGAAGATGGGATGGGGAAATACGGGCCCGAATGTGACTGGTGGTCACTGGGCGTCTGCATGTACGAAATGCTGTATGGTGAAACTCCCTTCTATGCTGAGTCACTGGTGGAAACCTATGGGAAGATCATGAATCACGAAGTAAGAGATGTATTAAATGCCTACATGTTCACCGAGATGATAATGTTTACAGAGAGACTGTTAAAAATTAAAGATACCAGAGTGGTGGTAGCTCTTTGCTTTTACACCATGCAGGTTTGTTGGCTCAGGTTTTAGGAATGTTTGCTGCTTTGTCAACCTGAAATCGAGATGCTCTGGTTGGAAAATCTAAGCACTCATCCCAGGTTCAAAATTAAAACCAACTCTTACGTTAGGCCCATTTAAACTTTCCTTTAGTACTTTCTAGAAGTAAATGCATTACTTCCACAGCTGTGCACGTTTTCTGTCACGCTGATAAAGTGCAAAGAAGGGAACAGGGAAGTCAGCCGGTGTAGGCGTGAGCTGGGTGAAGAATGTGAGATTGGGGGGAGTTGCCTGCAGTGGAAGTGATAGAAAAAGTGAACCTGAGCTGAATGAAGAACACAGAATCACTGAGTCATTAGGGTTGGAAGAGACCTCCAAGATCATCCAGTCCAACCTCAACCCAGCCCCACCATGGCCATAAACCACGTCCCCAAGTGCCACATCCACACGGTTTGTGGTCCCCCATCCACTCGGTTTGTGACCCCCTGCAGGGATGGGGACTCCCCCACTGCCCTGGGCAGCCTCTGCCAGTGCTTGGCCACTCTTTCAGTGGAGAAACTTTCCCTCATATCCAATCTAACTCTTCCCTGGCACAACCTGAGGCCATTTCCTCTTGTCCTTTCATCAGTTACATGGGAGCAGAGCCCAACCCCCTGTCTACCCCCTCCTTTCAGGAGCTGCAGAGGGGATAAGGTCTCCCTTCACCTCCTCTTCTCCACTTGAACCCCCCAGCTCCCTCATTGCTCCCCATCATTCGGCTGCTCCAGACCCCTCCCCAGCTCCGTTGCCCTTCTCTGCCCACGCTCCAGCCCCTCAATGTCCTTCTGGGAGTGGGTCAGGGGTTTGCCCAGGGTCAAGGTGGTGGAGCAGTTTTGAGACTTCTGGGGACATTTTGAACATTAGAGAGCAAGAATAAACCAGTTTGTGGTGTCCTTGCAAGAGCTGCATCAGGAGGGACTGTTTATGTGCGTACTCCACATCTCAGTTGGACACACAGTCAATATGGGTGTATGTCTTTCAGTGAAGTTTTTAAGTTTTATTTCAGTTATGTTGGTTTGGTCTCTAATGATCTCATTTTAAACTTAGAGAGTTGTATTATAAAAAGATAAATATATATATAGAGAGAGAGATAGAGATACAGATATAGATGTAGATGTGGATGTAGATGTAGATGTAGATACAGATATAGATATCTATTTATATATATATGTACACTATTGTCCTTTATTGGAAAAAACCCTTCTTGATTACACAGTGGTAATAGCACTTAATAGCAAGCTAGAGTAGAGAAAGTAGTTTTCCCTATTTTTATCTAGAGTAATTGCAGGCGTTAGTGGTAAGTACAATTTTTAGATCTTCTGCTTGGTTATGATAATATAAACCTTTGTTAAATGCAGATTGTATTTTGGTAAGAAAAGCGGGTATTTAGGCTATAAATCATAAAAATCCATCCTTAAGTATAATGTTTTGTAAGAATTGACGACGATCATGGGATTTTAAGGGCTGAAATGAATAAAATCTCCAGGAGTACATCTTTAGGAGATCAATGGATCTGGGGCTAAGAACCAGTGAGGGTCTGTCTTTCTTGTATGGTCTTTAATATATTGTATTGTGTCAAAATTCCTGTATGTCTTTAAAAAATATGTTTACCTTTCCTGATAGAGTTACTGGAACTGGGACAACGTTTGACTGCGTTTCCAGTTTCATTGGTGTTATTTAATTTAGCACATTCTTTTGAAACTGCTGTAGAAGGTTATTGAAAAGATTCCTCTTCTAAAAACGTCTCTATTTGTTTTCCAGGAACGGTTTCAGTTCCCATCCCACGTTACAGATGTGTCTGAAGAAGCGAAGGATCTTATTCAGCGACTCATCTGCAGCCGGGAGCGCAGGCTGGGGCAGAACGGCATCGAGGATTTCAAGTCTCATGCGTTTTTTGAAGGGCTCAACTGGGATAACATCCGAAACCTCGAAGCACCTTACATCCCCGAAGTCAGCAGCCCTTCTGACACCTCCAACTTTGACGTAGATGATGACGTGCTGAGAAATCCAGTGAGTCCTTGGTTTTCAGTGTTACTAATGCGAGTGTGCAACCTTGCTGCGCTGTAAGGCAGTCGTGAGAACTCATTTGAAAATAAGTCCTGTAAGAGGTGAAAAATGAGTCATTTCAGATGTGGAAAATACAAGTTTTCCATCTCTTTGGCATTTTTTGGGTTACCGAAAACTTTGAGCTGCTTTTCTAAATGGCAGCACTTGCCCAAATGGACTGCTGTGACATGGTCAAAGTTAAAACATATTTAGGTGGGGGAAAAACCCTTAGTTGTGCTTTTAGTTTACCTTTACGAGGAGCTTGTATTGGGATTTACTCCTTTGCAAAGGTGAAAATAAAACCCGTCTTCAGAATACAAATGTATATACAAATATACTCTCCACGCAGCTCACACTGCTGCTTCTCTGCTCACTTAAGAAGCAGGAGGTTGGGTTTTGGAGTGGGGTCCAAAATTCGGGTTAGGGGGAGCAAAGGGGTTCTGTGGTAATTCGTTCATCAGCTTCTCTGCAAGAACTGAAGAGCTTTTGTCATGTTTTTTGAGCACGTATCTCAACAGTAACTAGCACACTAAAACTAATAACGTGCATTTTGGTGGCAGGTCACTTTTAATTAGGAACTTGACATTCTGGGGTTTTCTTTTAGTGGTTGCATTGTGCTTTGAACTCATTGAAATGCTGCCCTTTCGAGTGGCGGTTCAAGAGGCTCCCAAATTCAGGTCACCCTATTAAGTGACCTGATCCGAAATAAAATTTGTCCTGGGACACTGCAAGGCTGTGCATTGGGAACTGGTGTGTGCCATTCGCTGTCCTGTTTTAATTGTTGAAGCTAAATTAAATGCTTTTGGCTCTGTTGGGTTTTCACGCACGTTGTTCTCATGCAGGAAGTGGTGCCCCCAAGCTCTCACACCGGCTTTTCTGGACTGCATTTACCGTTCGTTGGGTTTACGTACACAACTGATAGGTAAGCAGAGGATGAGTTCATTAAACTTGCTTCCCAGATGCAGCACATTCTAGGAAATCCTCAATTTTATAAGGATATAGGAAGGCTGATGTCTGTAGGTGCACCTGCCTTTGCTGGGGTTTGTTATCCCACCCAGTACAATTTCAGAAAGGACTCAGTACCCCCATCTCATCCTTTTCAGAGTGAGACCCTGTGGATTAACTGCAATCCATCCTTGTCACACTTGAAACTAAATTTCTGGGTTTGTTTCTCAGCTCTCTCAGGGCAGGCACACTTTCACAGAATCCCAGCACATCAGGAGTGGGAAGGGATCTGGAAAGCTCCCCCAGTGCAACCCCTGCCAGAGCAGGATCACCAGAGCAGTCACACAGGAACACGGCCAGGGCTTTGGGTGTCTGCAGACAAGGAGACTCCACAACCTCTCTGGGCAGCCTGGGCCATGCTCCAGATCCCTCACAGTAAAGAAGTTTTTCCTCATGTAAAGAAGTTTTTCCTCAAACTTTTCATTCTGCTTACTTCATTACTACAGATAGTAGTAACATTTGGCGCAGGAGACTTAACATTCTCAATCATTAAGGCAGTTTCTAAAGTGAATAGAAAGTTTATATATAGTTCAAAAAGTGAATATAATATTTATTAAGTCCTGAGTGCACAAGTGTCTCAATTCTGCAGCAGCACACGCAGTAGCAAAGGAATAATAACTTTACCCTGACTGCACTAATTGTTCTTGTGAATTTAAGGTGTGTATTTGGTGGGAACCCCTGCCTGGTGCTGCTGGAGACTGCTGTGAGTGTTTATTAAAGTACTTTAACTGATGTGCTTGTCTCCAGCTCTTTATCTGACAGAGGCACTTTAAAGAGTGCGATGCAGTCTGACACTGTAACCAGAGATGTGGATGTGCAGCGCGACTTGAAGAACACTACACAGATAGAGGGCTATGAGAAGAAAATACGGAAATTAGAGCAGGAAAAGCAGGATTTGAACAGAAAACTGCAAGGTTTGTGTTCGTTTGGGCCCTTAGCTCTGTGCGTTAAGGGAAATTGAAATATTTTATTGAGTATTTATATTATTTTATTGTTCCTTCCTTTTCTGATTTTAAGAGTCGACACAGACAGTGCAGAACCTCCAAGGTCCGGTGTGCGTTACAGTAAATGCAAGCCGGGATAAAGAGATTAAAAAATTAAATGAAGAAATTGAACGGTTGAAGAACAAATTAACAGGTAAGCCTCGGGCATGGTAATCACAGTAATGCATTTTAATTTGCTGCTCCTAATAACGTTATGCACTGTGTTTTTGCAGTAAGTAGAATTGATGTTCTTGAGGTGGTAAGAAAAACCTAAAGGTTTTTTAAAGTGTTGTTTAGTATTACGAGGTTTTTCCAGATGAGCATTTAACAAAAACCTCAGGAGATTCTGTGCTCTTACTCCTCCTTTTTTGGGGGGTGTATTAATTTGGGGAGGGGTTGCTTAGAGGTAGGTGTATGAGACGGTGGGGAGAGAAGACTGGTTGCTCTTTAGTGACATAAGGGGATGGGGGAGGGATGTGTAATCGTAATTCACATTTAAATAGTTCTGCTCCCTTTGTGTTTCTGTCTGGTGAGGCATTAATTAGGAAACACTGAGCACTGCAGAGAAACAAATACTGGCATCTGTCCTGAGAGGAGGCTGACTCATCCGTATCCCGAAAATCTGCTGCTTGACAGTGCTGTGGGTCTACCCATCCAGACCTCCTGTTGGCGCCTGATTTTGGAGTGGGGATCAGTGGTTAAACCAAAGGGCAGTTCTGAATCCTCGGGACTCGGCTGAGGGGTTTAGAGGGGTCTGCAGCGTAGCGGGAGTGAGCGCAGATGCTGATGTGGTTATTTTGACAATACACCCCCTTTGTAGGTGCACGCGTTGCAGAAACCAGCTCAGCTCTCCCGAGTAGGTGATGTTTCCAGAAAAAAGCTATTCTTGTGCATTCCAAAATGAGGTTTGAGTCTAAATAGTTAAATTAAGGTGCTACTTCTGCAAATGGCTGGGATTTATCCAGCTCTTCGGCTGATGGTGTCCTGTTAAATACAAAAACTAGCGGTGTGGCCTGGTTTAAAAAGAAATAGTGTTGATTCATGCTGAAATAAGGAATAATTCTTTAATCATCACATCCCTGAATGCACAGGTCCAGTTTCCTGGTCTGCCACAGAATTCGAGTGAGACCGTTATTAAATTCCTTATTTATTCATTTGAAAGAAGCAGTGATTCAAACCAAATTAAGAATGGCAGTTCATTTACCTACCAGCTCTTGAGACTGAGCGGAAGTACAGAAAGGACAGTTGGTTGTGCTTAAAGGTGATGATTTCCAATCAATCTGTTTAATTAAGAGTAAAGGGAGAATGACAGGAACACACTGCGACGAAGGTGGGCCTTGGGTCCGCAGTCTGCCTCACGCAGGATGGGGTTTCCTTCCCAGCCTGTGAGTTCTTATCTGCTCTAGGAAATAACTGGTCCTTTCCTGTCGCTCTCAATGCACTAAAGGCTGCAGCCTCGCTTGTCAAATAATGACAGCTATTTAGGAGACAAATTACTAGAACTGGAATTCGAAGAACTCGGGTTTATTTCGGTGTTTTCAATGCTGGAAGTTGCATTCCTCACCAGAAAGCCCTGTGCTAAGGCCTTTTCACTTCGACATCGCAGTCTTGGGAAGGATTTCTTTAATAGGCTGAGAAAGTTAAAATCGTATGGAACTGCCAGTGCCCCAAAATTACCTTAAACTGTCTAAAATGATGGGAATGGAGATGTTTTTTCCAAGCAAAGGGTCATGTTGCTTGCTTCATTGGTGTAAATTTGGGACTGGTGACATTTAATATGTATTGACCTACAGATATAAGTAAACTGGAAGGGCAGCTCGCAGATGCAGTGGCTTTTCGACAAGAGCACGAGGACTCCATGCACAAGCTGAAAGGACTGGAAAAGCAGTGCCGAGTGCTGCGGCAGGAGAAGGAGGATCTCCACAAGGTGCTGATCCTAACGCTGATATGTTTGAAAACATTCATGTGCAGTGGTGATGGAATAGTTCTGTTGTGATTGCGATTTCAGGGTTTCGAACGCTGCTGAGATATTAGTGACCCTGATCATTTCATTTGCAATACAGTAGTTTTCCAAAGTAGCACATCTTCTTTTTCTGGAAGTTGATGAGCATCTTATTTATTTCAAATGTGTTATGACAGGTGGAACAAGCACGTAAAGAATTATTTTAGTTTAACTGTGAAATTATTCATAACTAATTCAATATACACAGGAGTTAAACTTGGATCTGTGGCTAATCATTGGTCCTGTAGATACCAAAAAGCACATATGTATATATGAATATACATATATATATAGATATATATATATATACACACACACACAACATATATATGTGTTCACACACACAATATATACACACATATATATGCACATATATATAAATATGTATGTATGTATACACATATGTATGTACACATATGTATAAATATATATGTACACATATATGCACATGTATAAAAATATATATGTACACACACACACATATAGGCATATACATATAAAAATATATATGTATGTACACACACATATATATGTGCACATATATCCCCCTGTACTTGGCACTGGGGAGGCCGAACCTCCAGTACTGT